CAGGCGACGCGAGCGAGAGTGGTAAAACTGCCACGGCGGGGCGTCTGTGGGGAAGCCCAAGAAGGCGCAGCGGAGAGTGCGAGGAGAGAGCTTGCTCGCGGTGGTATCGCGAACAAGGGATAGCGCGCCCCATACCATTAAACGCTGACGCATCGCCAACCTCTCCCGTCCAACGTAGTGTGAGCGAGGTCTCTGGCAAAGAGACACGGGGCCAGAGGTTGAGCTGATGCGCAGCGTATCGGACCGCAAACGGCCACAGAAAATGGGGAGCAGCCGCATGGATCATGGAGGTACGAGCAACCTCCATGATCAAGCCAATGCGACGCTCAGCAATCCCATTTTGCTGAGGAGAGGCCGGAAGCGTGAATGACCGGCGGATGCCCTCGTCTCTACAGAACTCCGCAAGGAGGCCAGAAGAGAACCCACTGCCCCTGTCAGAGTGCAGACGCAGGACTCGCAAGTCCCGCCGAAACTGCTCGCGCAGCTGGTGACGAGTAGCACGGATCCAGGGGATCAAAACACCACTGACGTCCGCCTTGTGCCACAAGGGGAAGACGATGGTGTAGCGTGTGTAGTCGTCTACAACCAGCAGGAAGTAGCGCTCCTGGTCCGTCCCACCGACGGGGGCCGGGACCCACACGTCCATGTGGAGAGTTTGCAGAGGAGCAGTGGTCGGAGGAAACTCGGAGGAGTGAGGAGTTGCGCGCTGCCGCCCCTCGACGCAGGGAAGGCACGGCGGGGCAGGCGAGCGCGGGAGGGGGGGCAGGGACCTGGGAAGGCCAGAGACAAGGAGACGGGAGTGCATGCTGCGGAGACGCAGCATAGAGGGGTGACCGAGACGGTGGTGCCATAGAAGAGTCTGGTGGGAGAGTACCCGACACGAGCACGACGCAGCGAACTGACCAGACGCAGACACCTGACTCGACGCCGCCACCTGACCTGACGCAGCCACCTGTGCAGACGCAGTGGTCAGGGTGTACAGACTGGACCCAGGCGGCCGAGTGAACGTAGCAAGGTGACGGCCAGTCCGGGAGCACGTACAGATCGACACACGCTGCCCTCCAGGGATAAAGGTATCAACCCATACATCCTAAAGGACTGCGTTGCTCACCAAGTTCGTCGAGAACGAGGGGAGGTGGAGACCTGGAAGTGAGCCAGACGGGACTGCCGGACACGAGAGGCTAGTAGAGGCTCGTGCAACGACAAGGCCTCCAGAGGGGTCAGCCAGTGAGACTGGGACAGGTGCAGCGAGCGTCGTGACTGTGGTGCAATCTCGAAAGAAGTAACGAGACGCGCCAGAGTCAAGGATGAAAGTGTGCAAGGCCTCAGCCGAGGCAGGACCAGTGGTGGTAGACGCACTAGCACCTAGAGCTGCAGCAGACTCACTAGCACCTAGAGCGGCAGCAGACTCACTAGCACCTAAAGCAGCAGCCTCGACACAACCAGGGACGCCTCACTGAGAAACATAGTCGCTAAGCCGTTGCGGGGAGAAGGTCTCCTGCTGACGGTGCTGCTGCCACTGTGCAATAGTCATAAAACTATAACCTCCACCACCAGAACGGCCTCGCTGAAGAACCCACTCACAAAGCTGCTGCGGTGATAGAGTGTCCGGGTGAGGCAGTGGCTGCTGCTGTCCACCCCTAGGCGCTGCTACGACCGTGATAGTGGCCATGACAGGCAGTGGCAGTCAGTAGTAGCGGTGCAAGCAGGGCTGACGTTTCATTTTAAGCCTCCCTGATTCCGGGGAAACTTTTCCCCCTCTATTATGGGTGCACATTTTCCAGAAAAGCAGTACCCTGATTGCTCAGGGTTGTAAAGTAGTTAACACTGATTGTTCAGGGTCGAGAACTGAACATCAGAGTAGTAACGCGCACTTTGTTACCGGGGAAAATATCCCCACTCTCCATAAAGTCTGCGCGCTGTGTTTCCTGCTGGCTGTACACTCGACTGATTTGTGCAGGGCGGGTGTGATTGACCTATCTGGTGTGCGAGTGTAACGTTTCCCTGTCTTATTACCATGCCCAATTGGATCTCTTCAGCTGGCATGCATCAGACACGCTGCGACTGTAGTTAGTCACCCTCAGAGGCGTTCCTTCTGGAGCGAGTGTACCGATCGAACGGGCGAGTCACACCTGTTCGAGTCACAGATTTCCGCTGTCAGAGCCTATTTCGACCAATCCCAGCAAAGTATATCTGACATTGCAGATTCACGCGATCTCGATGGTAGGTGTATCAGAACGAGGTTTCGAAGAAACTTTGTCTCGATAAAGCGGGAAGGGGGGGGATTACGCACATGTGGGGGGATCACTGCGATCAATCCAAGGCGGGGTCATTGGAAGGAAACTTTCGAGAAACTTCCTCTCGATAAGTCAGGGTCCACACAGTCGATACTCTGTTAAGTCAGGGTCCACTAACAGCCTAGTCTGTTACACTGTACTCAAAATCAGGGATAGCTAAACTATTACTCTGATTGGATCAGGGCTGGAAATTCAATAACTCTGAAATTTCAGTCTCCACGAAGTGGAAAGCCTGAAATCACCCTGAAATCAGGGTAATTACCCTGATAAAATCAGCCCTGGGTGCAAGGGCGTGAGTAGCAACTGTTGTAGCTGCAGCTGTAGCAGTAGCGGTGGTCGCTGTGGCTGTAACAGCAGTAGCGACTGTTGGAGTGGCTGTGCGCGAGTAGAAGGGCACGAGCTAACAGCAGTGCGCGGGCAGCGCAGGCACGCGGGCGGTAGGTCTGCACGGGCGGTAGGTCAGCACGGGCTGCAGGGCGCACGCAGGGTGCAGGGCAGCAGAGGCGCGCGGGCTGCAGGGGCGAGCGCGGGCTGCAGGGGCGAGCGCGCGCTGCAGGGGCAAGCGCGTGCTGCAGGGGCAAGGGCGGCTGCAGGGGCGAGCACGCGCTGTAGGGGATAGTGCAGGCTGCAGGGGCGAGCGCGGCTACAGGGGCGAACGTGGGCTACAGGGGCGAGCGCGGGCTGCAAGGGCAAGCGCGGCTGCAGGGGCGAGCGCGCGCTGCAGGGGCGAGCGCGCGCTGCAGGGGCGAGCGCGGCTGCAGGGGCGAGCGCGCGCTGCAGGGGCGAGCGCGGGCTGCAGGGGCGAGCGCAGCTGCAGGGGCGAACGCGGGCTGGATGGGCGAGCGCGGGCTGGATGGGCGAGCGCGGGCTGCAGGGTCGAGTGCGGCTGCAAGGGCGAGCGCGCGCTGCAGGGGCGAGCGCGCGCTGCAGGGGCAAGCGCGGGCTGCAGGGGCGAGCGCGGCTGCAGGGGCGAGCGCGCTCTGCAGGGGCATGCGCGCGCTGCAGGGGCGAGCGCGGCTGCAGGGGCGAACGCGGGCTGCAGGAGCGAGCGCGGGCTGCAGGGGCGAGCGCGCGCTGCAGGGGCAAGCGCGGGCTGCGGGGGCGAACGCGGGCTGCAGGGTCGAGCGTGGCTGCAGGGGCAAGCGCGCGCTGCTGGGGCAAGCGCTAGCTGCAGGGGCGAGCGCGGCTGCAGGGGCGAACGCGGGCTGCAGGGGCGAGCGCGGGCTGCAGGGTCGAGCGCGGCTGCAGGGGCGAGCGCGCACTGCAGGGGCAAGCGCAGGCAGGAGGACGCGCGGATCACGGGCGACCGAGCGCGCGGGCAGGTCGCTGGCAGCACGGGCGGGGCAGTGCAAGGCCGCTTCGGGCAGGGACGAGCGGAATTATCGATGGGCCCTAAAAAAAAACCTAACAGGTTTCGTGCTCTGATACCATGTCAGAATAATCTGTGCAGGAATGATTGAACTAGCAACAGTTGTGATACAAGTACTAACCCTAGAAGTGCTGTACCCCATAAGCTGTGCCCCACTATATCCTAACAAGCAGTATTGTAATTTGACAAAGATGAACACGAGGACGGTGCATGGGATGTGACATTTTGATGCTGGCATCAGATGTGCCAGCACACCTCGTAAAGCTCGTTCAAGATGGGCACAGCGAGGCACCATTGCTAGCTCAGCGTAAGAAGGTAAGAACACGGTTTTGCCAAATAAAAGTTCATTATTATAGACAGAAAACACTACTGTATGATGTTTTATAAGTATTGAGGGGTCAAATCTATTCCATTTTTCATCATGTTCATCCTAGCCTTCAAGAACCAGTGGTGCTCACGCAGTTGTTGTGGAAGTACCAGTCAAACTATATTTATGCGTTTGTATTTATTGTCTAGAACAGGGCTAGACTTTAGAGAGTACGAAACTTTGTTTTTGTGTACTTTCGACTTTCATAACTCTTCTCCTCGACATGGTATCCCTCACTAGGTTACATCGCTTCTGCTTGCCTCCTAATCTCCAAAGTCCTAGCCCACCCTAGCTAAGTTAGCTCCAGATCGCCCTGCAGTCACGTTCCCTAGTGCGCCCCGCTTCCCCGTTTCTTAGCGCGTCGCACGGCCTCGTTCTCTAGCGCGCCCCGCGGCCTTTACTTAATCTTTTTTTTCTTTTCATTTTTTTGTTTGTTTTTTTATTATTAATGTTTTAGCCCGCTCTGCTGCCCTGCTTTCCCGCGCGCCGTGCTGCCGCGCTACGCTGCCGCCCCGCGCGACCTGCTGCCTCGTTGCCCAGCGTTCCCCGCGGCCCCATTAGAGCGAGCAGCAGCAGCAGCAGCGCGCTGCTGCCTTAGTAGCGCGCACGGCAGCAGCAGCAGCCACTGCCTTAGACAGCCGCACCTGGAGAGGCAGTTTTTCCTAGCACTTCCGCTCCATCGCGCTCCGTCACTGCCACAACCACTATGTTACCTCACCTTCCGCCCTGCAGTGGCGGGGAGCAGCAGTCTAGAGCTCGATTACTTCACTCGGAGGTTGCGGCCCGCCTTCGCGGCGCAGCGAGCAAGCTCGGCGATGCGTGGCGCGATGCGCGCCGTGCAGTGCGGAGCGGGCCGGAGGGGGACGCGGGCAGACCTGCGCTGGACGGCGGAGACAGGGCCGGCGAAATGCTCGCGATAAGCGGACAACGGATAGAAGTTATCGGTCCCTCGTTAGAATCACGGCAAATGGCTAGTAGCGATGTTCTCTTAGCGGGTTTCATGGACGGGCTGGCGAGCAAGGGCGGCGCGATATTGGACCGCCTTCAGGCGCACGCCGCCCGACTACTCCCCGTGCACCACCTGGCCTCCCCCTCCCCCTCCCCCTCCCTCTCCCCACTCGCCCGCTCGCCCCTGCCCCTCGCCTCGCTCTCCCTCCCCCTCTCCCCGCCCCCGCACGACGACTCCCCCGCTCCGCCCTCCCCGCAGCAGTGGCGCCCGCCGCACCTCCGCGGGATGCCTCACAGACGCCGCGGCGGCGGCCCCCCAGGCAGCACCCCCCCCGCGCGGTCAGTAGACAGCCGCGGAACCGCACCCGGCGGAGCCGGCGGCGGCGGCGGCGGAGGCGGGGGAAAGGCCGAGGAGGAGCGCGTGCTGATCAGCGAGATAGTGATTCGTGACAAGGACGGCGGCGAGGTGGAGGACGAGGAGCTGCTGAAGGTGGTGGCGGGCGCGCTCAAGGTGTCCAAGGCCAACGCGGCGCTGACCACGCGCGAGGTGCAGGAGGACGTGCACCGCATCATCGACACGGGGTACTTCGCTAGCTGCCTGCCGACTGCTGAAGACACACGGGATGGCGTTCGCCTCATCTTCCGGGTGGGTTTGGGGTGGTGGGGGGATTGGGAGGGAGGGTGGTTCCATGTGGGATGGAGGTGGGAGGGAGGGTGGTTCCATGTGGGATGGCGGTGGGAGGGAGGGTGGTTCCATGTGGGAGGGAGGTGGGAGGGAGGGTGGTTCCATGTGGGAGGGAGGTGGGAGGGAGGGTGGTTCCATGTGGGAGGGAGGTGGGAGGGAGGGTGGTTCCATGTGGGATGGCGGTGGGAGGGAGGGTGGTTCCATGTGGGAGGGAGGTGGGAGGGAGGGTGGTTGGGAAGCATGGATCAGAGTGGCGCTGGCGGACAGCAGGCGGAACAGAGGAGTCGTTGAGGCTTGAGGCTTGAGAGTCGTTGCTGCAAACAGTGTGTTGTTGACGCTGTGTCCCCTCATCCCCCCTGCAACCTCATCCTCCAATACAGCTTGCATACCATCACTCTGCGTCACTCTTGTCTCACCATCCCCACCATTTCATGCCACCCGTACCATACCATGCAATACCCTGCCACCGTGCCACATCATACCGTGGCACGAGGGCAGGTGGAGGCGAATCAGGAGATGAAGGGGCTGATGTGCGTGGGGGCCAATGTGCTGCCGACACGTGTCATTGAGGACGCCTTCCGAGACGAGTACGGTACGCCCCTGCCCAGCCCGCTCACATGCTCACATGTGCGCACTCCGTAACTGTAGCTGCTTGACCTGCATGCTCACATGCCCACATGCTCTCATTCTCGCTGCTTCACCTGCGTCCACCTGCTGGTCATCTGTCTTCTCACGCACACACCGACTCTTGCTTCACGTGCGAGAGCATGTGCGTACACCATCTGCCTCGCGAGCATGTGCTTACACCATCTGCCTCGCTATCCCCCCGCACGCACAACAGAACCACACTCGTCTGTCACCCTCTTTGTCCTGGCCGCCCATCGCCCCCCCATCTCCCCCGCATCAGGCAAGGTGGTGAACATCCAGCGCCTCAACGGCGTGCTGGATGTGCTCAACGGCTGGTACAGCGACCGCGGGCTCTTTGGACAGGTCAGCTGCCGCTCCCTGCTCCCCTCCCTCTTCCCCCTCCTCGCTTCCCCTTCCTGCTCCCCTCTCCCCTCTCCCCTCTCCTTCTTGCTCCCCGCTCCTCGATGCTGGAGACATGTGTATGTTGCAAAGAACTCGCCACTCAATCGCAAGGATCCGAATGCACAGGGAAATCTTATGATGGCCTGAGCAGGCACTTACCTAGTGTGTTTGTGCACGCGCGTGTGTGTGGATGTGTGCGTGTGTGAGAGCTCACCTATCCCTTTGAGCTCACCCATCCCTTTGAGTGCATGAGATGTGGTGCGGGATGGACGATGTGTGTGTGGTGATATGTGGGATAGTGTTGCCCCTCCATGGTTGTATTGTTGTGTGCACACACACCCCAACCCGCTTCACCCCACCCCATTCCACCGCACTGCACCGCACTGCACCGGCAGGTAACGGACGTGGAGCTGCTGTCGGATGGGGTGGTGCGAGTGAAGGTGGCGGAGGCGGAGGTGAACAACATCACCATCAAGTTCCGCGACCGCAAGACGTGAGACCTCTGTTGCTGTGTAAGCATGCCTAATGCTAACCCTGCCACCTGCACTTCGCAAGCCTGCAGTCTGCGCTCAGTCAGCATTCGTGCGTCAATTTGGCTGACGTTTTCAAGGAAAAATCAAGCACCTTTCATGCTCGAATGATGTGGCCGGTCGTTCACCCATGTGCCGTGTGTGTGCTGTTCTGCCCCTCTCCCTCCCTGCCGTGTGTGTGCTGCTCTCTCCCCCCCCCTCCTCCCTGCCGTGTGTGTGCTGCTCTCTCCCCCCCTCCTCCCTGCCGTGTGTGTGCTGCTCTCTCCCCCCCCTCCTCCCTGCCGTGTGTGTGCTGCTCTCTCCCCCCCTCCTCCCTGCCGTGTGTGTGCTGCTCTCTCCCCCCCCTCCTCCCTGCCGTGTGTGTGCTGCTCTCTCCCCCCCCTCCTCCCTGCCGTGTGTGTGCTGCTCTCTCCCCCCCCTCCTCCCTGCCGTGTGTGTGCTGCTCTCTCCCCCCCCTCCTCCCTGCCGTGTGTGTGCTGCTCTCTCCCCCCCCTCCTCCCTGCCGTGTGTGTGCTGCTCTCTCCCCCCCCTCCTCCCTGCCGTGTGTGTGCTGCTCTCTCCCCCCCTCCTCCCTGCCGTGTGTGTGCTGCTCTCTCCCCCCCTCCTCCCTGCCGTGTGTGTGCTGCTCTCTCCCCCCCTCCTCCCTGCCGTGTGTGTGCTGCTCTCTCCCCCCCCTCCTCCCTGCCGTGTGTGTGCTGCTCTCTCCCCCCCTCCTCCCTGCCGTGTGTGTGCTGCTCTCTCCCCCCCCTCCTCCCTGCCGTGTGTGTGCTGCTCTCTCCCCCCCCTCCTCCCTGCCGTGTGTGTGCTGCTCTCTCCCCCCCCTCCTCCCTGCCGTGTGTGTGCTGCTCTCTCCCCCCCCTCCTCCCTGCCGTGTGTGTGCTGCTCTCTCCCCCCCCTCCTCCCTGCCGTGTGTGTGCTGCTCTCTCCCCCCCCTCCTCCCTGCCGTGTGTGTGCTGCTCTCTCCCCCCCTCCTCCCTGCCGTGTGTGTGCTGCTCTCTCCCCCCCTCCTCCCTGCCGTGTGTGTGCTGCTCTCTCCCCCCCTCCTCCCTGCCGTGTGTGTGCTGCTCTCTCCCCCCCCTCCTCCCTGCCGTGTGTGTGCTGCTCTCTCCCCCCCTCCTCCCTGCCGTGTGTGTGCTGCTCTCTCCCCCCCTCCTCCCTGCCGTGTGTGTGCTGCTCTCTCCCCCCCTCCTCCCTGCCGTGTGTGTGCTGCTCTCTCCCCCCCTCCTCCCTGCCGTGTGTGTGCTGCTCTCTCCCCCCCCTCCTCCCTGCCGTGTGTGTGCTGCTCTCTCCCCCCCCTCCTCCCTGCCGTGTGTGTGCTGCTCTCTCCCCCCCCTCCTCCCTGCCGTGTGTGTGCTGCTCTCTCCCCCCCCTCCTCCCTGCCGTGTGTGTGCTGCTCTCTCCCCCCCCTCCTCCCTGCCGTGTGTGTGCTGCTCTCTCCCCCCCCTCCTCCCTGCCGTGTGTGTGCTGCTCTCTCCCCCCCCTCCTCCCTGCTGTGTGTGTGCTGCTCTCTCCCCCCCTCCTCCCTGCCGTGTGTGTGCTGCTCTCTCCCCCCTTCCTCCCTGCCGTGTGTGTGCTGCTCTCTCCCCCCTTCCTCCCTGCCGTGTGTGTGCTGCTCTCTCCCCCCCCTCCTCCCTGCCGTGTGTGTGCTGATCTCTCCCCCCCTCCTCCCTGCCGTGTGTGTGCTGCTCTCTCCCCCCCCTCCTCCCTGCCGTGTGTGTGCTGCTCTCTCCCCCCCCGTCCTCCCTGCCGTGTGTGTGCTGCTCTCTCCCCCCCCCTCCTCCCTGCCGTGTGTGTGCTGCTCTCTCCCCCCCCTCCTCCCTGCCGTGTGTGTGCTGCTCTCTCCCCCCCTCCTCCCTGCCGTGTGTGTGCTGCTCTCTCCCCCCCCTCCTCCCTGCCGTGTGTGTGCTGCTCTCTCCCCCCCCTCCTCCCTGCCGTGTGTGTGCTGCTCTCTCCCCCCCCTCCTCCCTGCCGTGCCACAGGGGCGAGCCGACGACAGGCAAGACGCGGCCAGAGACCATCTTGCGGCAACTCATGACCAAGAAGGGGCAGGTGGGGTGAGAAGACGAGAGAAGGGGCAGGTGGGGGCGCATGACGAGAGAAGGGGCAGGTGGGTGCGCATGACGAGAGAAGGGGCAGCTGGGGGCGCATGACGAGAGAAGGGGCAGGTGGGTGCGCATGACGAGAGAAGGGGCAGCTGGGGGCGCATGACGAGAGAAGGGGCAGCTGGGGTGAGAAAGTGCATGTGGGCTCGCGCGACAAGGGGCAGGTGAGCGTGAGAAGGGGCAGGAGAGAAGGTAATGCCGTAATGCATGAAGGCAGAGGTGAGGCTGCCCAGCTTATCCGAGGATGTTGCGCAGCATTCGAGTGCCCGTGTGCAACACCCCAACCCTGTGCAGCGAGAGCATCTGAGAGGGAGGCGGCAAGTGCTCTCTGCTTCCACGTGCCTGACCCCTTCTCCCAGCCCAACACCCCTACCCCCATCCCCTGTCCCCCGCTCCCCCTCCACACTTGCCAGTAAGCCCGCCCTCCCTACAGCAGGGCCAGAGCGGCTTGTTTCCCCAACACCCCACCCCCATGGACCCCCTCCCCACCTATCCCCTCCTTTTCCCGCACCGGCGGCCCCCTTCCGTGCAGGTGGACAGCCTGCAGGTGGACAGCCTGCAGGTGGACAGCCTGCAGGTGGACAGCCTGCAGCAGGGGAGACGGATGTCAGCATGGGCATCATGGAGGAGAGCTGCCTACCGCCCATGTCCGCCATACCTCCCTTGCCCCCTATACTCCCATGCCCCCTCTGGGCCCCCTCGTTGCAGGTGTACCCGCTACAGCAGGGGCGGCACGACGTGGAGACGGTGTTCACGATGGGCATCATGGAGGAGAGGTGGCTGACACCCCCCATGCCTCCACCTTCTGTGCCTCCACCCCCTATGCTTTCTCCCCTCCTATACACAGGTGTACTCGCTACAGAAGGGGCGGAGGGACGTGGAGACGGTGTTCACGATGGGCATCATGGAGGAGAGGTGGCTGCTACCGCTCCTATGGCCTCCATGTCCCCCACCACACCCCATGCCTACCATGCCTCCTATGCCCCACACGCCCTGTGCCTCCCCAATCCTATACACAGGTGTACAGCCTACAACAGGGGCGGCGCGACGTGGAGATGGTGTTCACCATGGACATCGTGGAGGGCAACTGATTGACATGCATGTGCTTTCCCCCGTGCCTGCTGTTCGTGTTGCCGGCAGGTGTACTCGCTACAGCAAGGCAGGAGGGACGTGGAGACGGTGTTCACGATGGGCATCATGGAGGACGTCAACCTCATCCCGCACCCCGCCCCTGGAGGTACCTTCATGCAATCAATCACGGTGCAAAGAGGTGAGTGAAGGTAGGGGTAAAGGAGATGGGAGGTTGTGTGAAGCGCAATAGTGATTGAACGTGGTGCTGCATGGACTCATGTGTCCCAGGGCGCAACGCAACCTCCTATCACGTGTAACAGGCGGTCGTGCCTGGGCCCCATATGCTTCCATCGCCCTCCAATCACCCAATCACCCTTCTCAGGGCATGGGTGGGCTAGCTTCGCTGCACTGCACGCCCCAAGGCCCACCCTAACTCTGCTGCTGAATATCCCGCCACTGCCTCTGTGCGCCTCCCCCTCCCACTCTCCCCTTCCCCCCTCTTCCATCCCCACCAGACACGGGCATGGTGGATCTCACCATGAGCGTCGTTGAACGCTCGAGGCCTCACCTGCCCCCATGCACACCACACCACACCACACCACACCACACCACACCACACCACACCACACCACACCACACCACACCACACCACACCACACCACACCACACCACACCACACCACACCACACCACACCATGCGCCCTCACTTTACCCCACCCCTCCACCCGCAACACACAAACACGGGCATACCCGTCCCCATGCCCCTTCTCCACATACCCCCCTCCCCCCTTACCCACCAGACACGGGCATGGTACACCTCACCATGAACGTTGTTGAGCGACCCAAGGCACACCATGCCACATCATTCCACCTGTCCCTCCCTGTGGCCCTCCACCCGTCCAACCCCCCACCAGACACGGGCATGGTGGATCTCACCATGAACGTCGTTGAGCGCCCGCCAGGCGGCTTCTCTGCTGGCGGTGGGCTGTCCGGCAGCAGGTGAGGGGGGGGAAGTGGAGAGGATCAAGTGGCAGGTGGGGATGGCATTGGGTGGAGAGGGGGCAGTGGGTGGATAAGGAGGGGGGGGGGGGGGGGGGTGGGCACTGGGCGGTGCGTTTGAAGAGCCTCAGTACCCTAGCTGCTCTGTATCGCTAGCCTTGTGAGGTGGTCACTGCTCTGTAACATGCTAGTTCCACGTTTTGCTTACAGCAGTGCGTCCGTTGACACGCATCTGGCTTCTCGCTCACACTGCACTGCCTTCATCCATTCCTCTCCTCTCTTCTGCGCATGCTTGCTGCAGCCTTTCTGGAGGAGCTCTTTCTGGCCTCATTGGCAGGTATGGCATGGTGGAATGAAGGGGATGGAGGGATGGATGGGATGATGGCACAATGGCAGGATGCCATAATGCAGTGAGTATATGTTGAAGCGCTTCTGTGTGTCGTCAAGGTAGACAGTCTGTCACACACTCGCGTGTATGCACGCGGCTTATAGAACCCGGCATGTGTGTGCTCGGATGCTTGTACCTGCACGGCAAGGGGTGAGCAAAAAAACGAACACCTGTTCGGTTCGCCTCGAACGTGTTCGAGGCAAACCGAACAGGTTTGATTTTTTGGCTTAAAGTGTTCACCGAACAGTGTTCGAGGTTCGCCCGAACACGTTCGTGTTCGGGCCTCTGCTGCAATTTGCCCCGCGACGAACACGAACGTGTTCGAGGTTCGCCCGAACACGCCTTCACAGGCGAACGGCGAACACCTGTTTTTGCTCAAGGTGTTCGCCGAACCGAACAGTGTTCGGTTCAGCAAACGGCTGTGTTCGTGTTGGGGCGAACACAAAGACGTTCGTGTTCGCCCCTTGCTCACCCCGGCATGTGCCCCCACACGCGCTGACACCCACACACATGTGGCGTCAGGCACGTTCGCTCCACTTCTCCCCACTTTCTCCCATCGCCCTCCACTTCACCGGCTCTGTGTTCCTTCCTAAACCCTGTCCTCTCCATTTGTGCCATCCCCCCACTCCTCCCCACTCGCACCAGCTTCACCTACTCGCACCACGACGTGTGGGTACGCAACTTTTTGTACTTAACTGAAGCACATTCCCACAACCAGCTTACACACAACCCCCCTTTCCCCAACCCCCCACCCTATCCACGCCCAGCTTCACGTACTCACATCGCAATGTGCGCGGGCGCAACCAGAAGCTGAACGTGGCGGTGGAGCGGGGCCAGCTGGACTCCATCTTCCGCGCCTCGTACAGCGACCCGTGGATCGAGGGGGATGATAAGCGCACATCCCGGGCCATCAACATTCAAGTGAGTGTGCTGCGCCATTGACATGCAGGGGAGGGAGGGTGGTAGGAGTTGGTGCATGTGCAGAGAGGCCAGCTGGGGTCCATCTTCTATGTGTGGTACAGCGACTCGTGGATCGAGGGGGGTGATGAGCGCACATCCCGGGCCATCAACATCCAGGTCAGGTCGGGGTGGTTGGTGTGCCACACCATGCTGCAGGTGGTCAGTGCGGGCATGAACGGCCAGCTGGAATCCATCTGTGCCTCCTAGAGCGACCCGTGGATCGAGGGCGATGATCAACGCACCTCACGGGCCATCAATATCGAGGCGAGTGTGTTAGCTGATTGTGCGAGTGTTGCGTGTGCAACCATCCACCCACCTCTCTGCATGCATGCTCGGGCCGTCATTGCGTCTCCCCTGGTTGGCGTAATGCTTGAATCTGCAGGTGGTCAGTGTGCCACTTGGTGATTATGCGCTGTGTGTGTGGAAATTGGTATGGGTTTTCATGCACTGCACACTGCGCATGCTGCACTCTTCACTATTCCATTGTCCATCCGTCGCTCTCCTGCATGCCTCCCTGCAGAATTCGCGCACGCCTGAAATGATGGTGCACAGGGTGCGGGTGAAGACCATCTAGGAGGTGTTGAACCCGTGTGATCCCTCGTAAACCTGTGTAAACCTGTGTAAGCCTCTGTAAACCCTGTGTGCCTCTGGGCAGAATTCACGCACGCCAGACATGATGGTGCACGGGGTGAGGCGGGACGGCAGTGCGGGCGGACCGTGGGCGGGGGGGGTGACGATCGCGAGGGTGGTGGCGTCGGTGGATTACAGCCGCCCCATCCGCCCCCGCTGGACCGCCACTGCCGGGCTCAACCTGCAGGTGCGTGCTACAGCCGAGCTCAACCTGCAGGTGCGTGCTACAGCCGGGCTCAACCTGCAAGTGCGTGCTACAGCCGGGCTCAACCTGCAGGTGCGTGCATGGATTGAGCTGCTCCGCTGCAATGCTTATTCAGCTTTTTAGGAAGCCAATTGGTTCATCAAACTCGCACTCCTCTCGTTGCGCTTCCCCAACTTTCTCTTCTTCCCCTCCTCTTCCCTGCCTCCCTTTCCTTCTCACCTCTCGCCCCCACCCATCCCCGTACACCCCACTCCTTTCTCCCCTGCCATGGTCCGTGTGTGTGTAAATGCCCGCCCTGCTCCGTCCACCTCCTCACGCACAGAGAGCAGGGGCAAGGGACGACCACGGCCACCCCAAGCTCGTTGATGCCTACGGCAGCCCACTCACTTTCAGGTTATTCTTTTGTCTGCACGTGTTTTTGCGTCACAACGTGTACTGCTACTTCACGTGCTCGCAACGTTCATCCGTCGCGACTTCTACCTTGTTGTGACCGAGGTTTCGCAACCGAGGGTGGTTTTACCTTGAAGGCGCTCCTTGCTCCGAATCTGATTCAAAATGTCATTCATCCACTGCTACTCATTCTCACCCACTCATTCTTGCTTAGCCATCCCAGACGTTTTCCCCATAACCTCCATCCATTCCCCCCCCCTCCCTCTCCAGTGGGCGGGCATCAGACGACATGCTGATAGCCAAGCTCGAGACGGTCTACACCGACTCGGGAGATAACGCCTCCTCCCAGGTACGCCTCGTCTCAGGTACGCCTCCTCCCAGGTACGCCTATACGCGCAGTGTATATCTGCGTTGCCCTGTACTTGCTGAGGCAATCTCACCATGTGCCTCACCATTTTAACTTCCTTTCCCTTCTCGGCCCCCACCTCCCTCCAGATCCATTCTTTCCCCCCCGTCTCTCTCCCCACCCATTCCCTCCTTTCCTCCAGATCTCCCCCCCAGATCTTTCCCCCAGATCTCCCCCCCAGATCTTTCCCCCAGATCTCCCCCCCAGATCTCCCCCCCAGATCTCCCCCCCAGATCTCCCCCCCAGATCTCCCCCCCAGATCTCCCCCCCAGATTTTTCCCCCAGATCTCTCCCCCAGATCCTTGCCCCATATCCCCCCCTGCACCTCTCCCCTCCCTCCAATGGCGTGGCAGCTGGTGCTGGGCACGGGGCAGGCCATCCTGCCTGCACCCACTCTCACCCTTCGAAGCCTGCAAATCCCCCGTCCCTTGCTTTCCCCACCCCTCCCCTCCCCCCATTCCCCAGCTCGTGCTGAGCACGGAGCAAGCCATCCCATCGCCCATTAGCCTATTCCCGATCTCCCCCTGTCCCCCTCTCCCTCTCCCCCTCCCCCCTTCCCCAGCTCGTGCTGAGCACGGAGCAGGCCATCCCCATCGCGTGCTTGCGCGCACCCATCCCTCTGTACCACCCTCTCCCTCTCTTCCTTTCCCCAGCTCGTGCTGAGCACGGAGCAGGCCATCCCCATCGCGCCCGACTGGCTCTTCTTCAACCGCATCAACGCCCGCGCGCGCAACGGCTTCAGGATTGGCCACGCGCGACTCATCGGCAGGTGGGTCGCTGCCTGCCCTTTGGGTCAACTCAGGAGTCACCTTAAGTCACCTTTTGGGTTGTCTCAAAAGGCAACGGATTCAGGATCGGCCACGCTCGCCTCATTGGCAGGTGGGGAGGGGGGGGGGCGGCATTAGCAGGGGGGTTTGTGGCAAGTGGAGCTGCTTCTAGCAGAATGGGTGCGCTTGATTGCATGGCCATGGACTCAAGCTGGCACTATTCCGTACCGTACTGTACTGGCCCGACTGTTTTCTTTCACCCTTATCCGATCCCCCCCGCACGATGTTACCGGCACTTTCCCCTCCCACACTCCTCTCCCTATCCTGCGATCATTTTTATCTCCCTTCTTATCCTGTGGGCCTGTTCTTCATTACCTGTGCATAGAGCACATCTTCACTGCTAAAAGCGCCCCCATTGCTTATTACCAGTTTCTCAGGCGGCATGGAGGTGGGGCACCTGGCACCACACCCCTCTCACACTCCTGTTCCCATCCCCCTCTCCCCACCCTCATCCCTCCCACCCCGCGCCATCAGTTTCTCAGGCGGCACGGTGGTGGGCGACCTGGCGCCACATGAGGGGTTCCCCATCGGCTTCCGAGGCATCTGAAACCTCCACCCTCACCCCTCACACACCCCTCCTTCGCCCCTCACACACCCCTCCTTCGCCCCTCACACACCCCTCCTTCGCCCCCCACCTGCCCCGCATGACCAGCTTCTCAGGCGACACGGTGGTGGGCGACCTGGCACCGCACGAGGCGTTCCCCATCTGCTTTTGAGTTGAGACATCTCAAAACTTCACCCTCACCCCTCCCACCCTTCTCTCGCCGTCCGCCCCTCCTGCATCAGCTTCTCAGGCGGCACGGTGGTGGGCGACCTGGCACCGCACGAGGCGTTCCCCATCTGCTTTTGAGTTGAGACATCTCAAAACTTCACCCTCACCCCTCCCACCCTTCTCTCGCCGTCCGCCCCTCCTGCATCAGCTTCTCAGGCGGCACGGTGGTGGGCGACCTGGCGCCGCACGAGGCGTTCCCCATCGGCGGCACCAACAGCGTGCGCGGATATGATGAGGGCGCCGTGGGGTCGGGCCGATCCTACATCGTCACCAGCGGAGAGATCTCCTTCCCCATGGTAGCCCCCTCGTTGCTCGCCTCGTACCTCGTCTGTACCTCGCCTTTTAGACCCTGGGCGTCCACATAGCACACATGCACATGAATGCAAGAGACCATGCAAGCCTGGTGCTTTGTTTCCTGTCTCCGTCTCTGCCTTTGTTTTTTTGTTCCTCTCCCTTGTTTTCCTCCTTGTCCGTTAGTGGTGAAGCTTCTCTGTCACAGTCTGCTGTACCACCAGCGCATCCCCACTCTCACCCACCCACCAGGGGCCGGGTCGCGTGTTCATTGCGCATGAACTCTTTTTCTCTTGCTCCCAGATTATTTAAACCAACTGCACTTGCAGCCACCATGTGCAATGCTGGTCGCACTTCTCGCAACAGCAAGGTCACTCATCATGAGACCACCTCTCACGCGCCCACGTCCCCCTTCCCCCCGTGTCACCTGCAGTTCGGCCCGTTGGAGGGCGCTTTCTTTGCTGACTATGGCACGGATCTAGGCTCGGGTGCCACTGTGCTAGGTACGGTTTAGGCACAGTCCTGCTTGCTTGTTCCGGTGAGAAAGGCTCCTGAATTGGTGCGAGCACAGGGTATATTGGGAGTGAGAGACACATGCACTTGGCAGCACTTTCAATCTAGTGAACTCGCCTTTTACAGCCCTCGCCTCACCACCATAATCCATTCGAACCCCTCTCCCTCTTCCAGGCGACCCAGCAGGGGCGCGGGGCAAGCCAGGGAGGGGCTTTGGGCTGGGCGCGGGGGTGCGAGTGGACTCACCACTGGGCCCTCTGCGCCTCGAGTACGCGTTCAACGACCAGAAGATCCCTCGCTTCCACTTTGGCATCGGCTACCGCAACTAGAGTAGAGCATGTGAAGTCACTGTGGCGTCTTGACAAGCGGGCACTGATTGCCATTGTGTGAGTTGGCGGGTCCGCTGCGCCTCGACTACGCAACGCGTTCAGCTCAACGACCACGAGATCCCGCGCTTCCACTTTGGCATTGGCCACCGCAACAAGGGCAGCGCAGCAGGATTTTAAAGTCGTTGTGAGGTCGGATGGAGTTGAGGATGTGAATGAACTCAATCATTAGTGCCACGAGTTAGGAGCATGAGGTGTAGAGGTTGGGACAGAAGTTGCTTCCTCAAAATCAGAGTTGAAATATATCGTTTGATCAGTTGAAGTCTCGCCTCGCCTTGCCTTGAGTATACCGTGATTAATGGGCCCAACTCGCCCCGAGTATAGAGAGAGGAAGGGAAAAAGAAAATACCTACTTAGCAAAGAATGGTATTTGTTGCCACAAGGGTTCAAGTCGAAGTATAGAATTGACCATCCAAGCTTTTCTTTCGGTGCCATGCAGCTGCACATGGCCCTTCCCAGCTGCACATGGCCCTTCCCAGCTGCACATGGCCCTTCCCAGCGGAGTCACGGTCAACGCAGTCAACACAAGCAAAGACACGGTCAACGCAATCAACACAAGCAGAGACACGATCAACGCAGTCAACACAAGCAGAGTCACGGTCAACGCAGTCAGCATAAGCAGAGTCACGGTCAACGCAGTCAGCACAAGCAGAGTCACGATCAACGCAGTCAGCACAAGCAGAGTCACGGTCAACGCAGTCAACACAAGCAGAGACACGGTCAACGTAGTCAGCACAAGCAGAGTCACGGTCAACGCAGTCAACACAAGCAGAGTCACGATCAACGCAGTCAGCACAAGCAGTGTCACGGTCAACGCAGTCAACACAAGCAGAGTCACGGTCAACGCAGTCAACACAAGCAGAGACACGGTCAACGCAGTCAGCACAAGCAGAGTCACGGTCAACGCAGTCAGCACAAGCAGAGTCACGGTCAACGCAGTCAACACAAGCAGAGACATAATCAACGCAGTCAACACAAGCAGAGACACGGTCAACGCAGTCAACACAAGCAGAGACACGGTCAACGCAATCAGCACAAGCAGAGTCACGGTCAACGCAGTCAGCACAAGCAGAGTCACGATCAACGCAGTCAGCACAAGCAGAGTCACGGTCAACGCAGTCAACACAAGCAGAGACACGGTCAACGCAGTCAACACAAGCAGAGACACGGTCAACGCAGTCAACACAAGCAGAGACACGGTCAACGCAGTCAGCACAAGCAACGTCACGGTCAACGCAGTCAGCACAAGAAGAGTCATGATCAACGCAGTCAGCACAAGCAGAGTCACGGTCAACGCACTCAGCACAAGCAGAGTCACGGTCAACGCAGTCAGCACAAGCAGAGTCACGGTCAACGCAGTCAACACAAGCAGAGACACGGTCAACGCAGTCAGCACAAGCAGAGTCACCGTCAAGGCAGTCAGCACAAGCAGAGTAACGGTCAACGCAGTCAACACAAGCAGAGTCACGGTCAACGCAGTCAACACAAGCAGAGACACGGTCAACGCAGTCAGCACAAGCAGAGTCACGGTCAACGCAGTCAGCACAAGCAGAGTCACGATCAACGCAGTCAACACAAGCAGAGTCACGGTCAACGCAGTCAACACAAGCGGAGTCACGGTCAACGCAGTCAACACAAGCAAAGACACGGTCAACGCAATCAACACAAGCAGAGACACGATCAACGCAGTCAACACAAGCAGAGTCACGGTCAACGCAGTCAGCATAAGCAGAGTCACGGGCAACGCAGTCAGCACAAGCAGAGTCACAGTCAACACAGTCAGCACAAGCAGAGCCACGGTCAACGCAAGTAACACAAGCAGAGTCACGGTCAACGCAGGCAACACAAGCAGAGACACGGTCAACGCAGTCAGCACAAGCAGAGTCACGGTCAACTCAGTCAACACAAGCAGAGTCACGGTCAACGCAGTCAACACAAGCAGAGACACGGTCGACGCAGTCAGCACAAGCAGAGTCACTGTCAACTCAGTCAGCACAAGCAGAGTCATGGTCAACGCAGTCAGCACAAGCAGAGTCACGGTCAACACAGTCAGCACAAGCAGAGTCACGGTCAACGCAGTCAACACAAGCAGAGTCACGGTCAACGCAGTCAACACAAGCAGAGACACGGTCAACGCAGTCAACACAAGCAGAGACACCGTCAACGCAGTCAGCACAAGCAGAGACACGGTCAACGCAGTCAGCACAAGCAGAGTCACGGTCAACGCAGTCAACACAAGCAGAGACACGGTCGACGTAGTCAGCACAAGCAGAGTCACGGTCAACGCAGTCAACACAAGGAGAGACACGGTCAACGCAGTCAACACAAGCAGAGTCACGGTCAACGCAGTCAACACAAGCAGAGACACGGTCAACGCAGTCAGCACAAGAAGAGTCATGATCAACGCAGTCAGCACAAGCAGAGTCACGGTCAACGCAGTCAGCACAAGCAGAGTCACGGTCAACGCAGTCAGCACAAGCAGAGTCACGGTCAACGCAGTCAACACAAGCAGAGACACGGTCAACGCAGTCAGCACAAGCAGAGTCACCGTCAAGGCAGTCAGCACAAGCAGAGTCACGGTCAACGCAGTCAACACAAGCAGAGTCACGGTCAACGCAGTCAACACAAGCAGAGACACGGTCAACGCAGTCAGCACAAGCAGAGTCACGGTCAACGCAGTCAGCACAAGCAGAGTCACGATCAACGCAGTCAACACAAGCAGAGTCACGGTCAACGCAGTCAACACAAGCAAAGACACGGTCAACGCAATCAACACAAGCAGAGACACGATCAACGCAGTCAACACAAGCAGAGTCACGGTCAACGCAGTCAGCATAAGCAGAGTCACGGGCAACGCAGTCAGCACAAGCAGAGTCACAGTCAACACAGTCAGCACAAGCAGAGTCACGGTCAACGCAAGTAACACAAGCAGAGTCACGGTCAACGCAGGCAACATAAGCAAAGACACGGTCAACGCAGTCAGCACAAGCAGAGTCACGGTCAACTCAGTCAACACAAGCAGAGTCACGGTCAACGCAGTCAACACAAGCAGAGACACGGTCAACGCAGTCAGCACAAGCAGAGTCACTGTCAACTCAGTCAGCACAAGCAGAGTCATGGTCAACGCAGTCAGCACAAGCAGAGTCACGGTCAACACAGTCAGCACAAGCAGAGTCACGGTCAACGCAGTCAACACAAGCAGAGTCACGGTCAACGCAGTCAACACAAGCAGAGACACGGTCAACGCAGTCAACACAAGCAGAGACACCGTCAACGCAGTCAGTACAAGCAGAGACACGGTCAACGCAGTCAGCACAAGCAGAGTCACGGTCAACGCAGTCAACACAAGCAGAGACACGGTCGACGTAGTCAGCACAAGCAGAGTCACGGTCAACGCAGTCAACACAAGCAGAGACACGTTCAACGCAGTCAACACAAGCAGAGTCACGGTCAACGCAGTCAGCATAAGCAGAGTCACGGGCAACGCAGTCAGCACAAGCAGAGTCACAGTCAACACAGTCAGCACAAGCAGAGCCACGGTCAACGCAAGTAACACAAGCAGAGTCACGGTCAACGCAGGCAACACAAGCAGAGACACGGTCAACGCAGTCAGCACAAGCAGAGTCACGGTCAACTCAGTCAACACAAGCAGAGTCACGGTCAACGCAGTCAACACAAGCAGAGACACGGTCGACGCAGTCAGCACAAGCAGAGTCACTGTCAACTCAGTCAGCACAAGCAGAGTCATGGTCAACGCAGTCAGCACAAGCAGAGTCACGGTCAACACAGTCAGCACAAGCAGAGTCACGGTCAACGCAGTCAACACAAGCAGAGTCACGGTCAACGCAGTCAACACAAGCAGAGACACGGTCAACGCAGTCAACACAAGCAGAGACACCGTCAACGCAGTCAGCACAAGCAGAGACACGGTCAACGCAGTCAGCACAAGCAGAGTCACGGTCAACGCAGTCAACACAAGCAGAGACACGGTCGACGTAGTCAGCACAAGCAGAGTCACGGTCAACGCAGTCAACACAAGGAGAGACACGGTCAACGCAGTCAACACAAGCAGAGTCACGGTCAACGCAAGTCAACACAAGCAGAGACACGGTCAACGCAGTCAGCACAAGAAGAGTCATGATCAACGCAGTCAGCACAAGCAGAGTCACGGTCAACGCAGTCAGCACAAGCAGAGTCACGGTCAATGCAGTCAGCACAAGCAGAGTCACGGTCAACGCAGTCAACACAAGCAGAGACACGGTCAACGCAGTCAGCACAAGCAGAGTCACCGTCAAGGCAGTCAGCACAAGCAGAGTCACGGTCAACGCAGTCAACACAAGCAGAGTCACGGTCAACGCAGTCAACACAAGCAGAGACACGGTCAACGCAGTCAGCACAAGCAGAGTCACGGTCAACGCAGTCAGCACAAGCAGAGTCACGATCAACGCAGTCAACACAAGCAGAGTCACGGTCAACGCAGTCAACACAAGCAAAGACACGGTCAACGCAATCAACACAAGCAGAGACACGATCAACGCAGTCAACACAAGCAGAGTCACGGTCAACGCAGTCAGCATAAGCAGAGTCACGGGCAACGCAGTCAGCACAAGCAGAGTCACAGTCAACACAGTCAGCACAAGCAGAGTCACGGTCAACGCAAGTAACACAAGCAGAGTCACGGTCAACGCAGGCAACATAAGCAAAGACACGGTCAACGCAGTCAGCACAAGCAGAGTCACGGTCAACTCAGTCAACACAAGCAGAGTCACGGTCAACGCAGTCAACACAAGCAGAGACACGGTCAACGCAGTCAGCACAAGCAGAGTCACTGTCAACTCAGTCAGCACAAGCAGAGTCATGGTCAACGCAGTCAGCACAAGCAGAGTCACGGTCAACACAGTCAGCACAAGCAGAGTCACGGTCAACGCAGTCAACACAAGCAG